CCGTCGCCTCCGCCACCTCCCTTCATCTTCTTACTCTTGGTCTTCTTCCCACCGCCAGGCAAAGACTGCACTGGCAGCACCATCATCCCCCCCGGCCCCTCGGCAAAAGGCGTGTTATGGGCGACCTTGCGCCGACCACAGCAACAAGGGTAGATCATGAAGAGGTAGATCATGGAGAGCACTGTCAGGAAGGAGAGCACGTAGAGCAGGTATGCGGGGAGCTTGCTCTCTGGGGGAGGTGCTGAGGGTGGTTTGATGATCTGAACAAATGGTCAGCAACGGGAGCGATGAGGCCTGCCAGACGTCCAAAATACACTACCAAGAGGGAGCGTGATATGGAAAGACATACCAGGGCGGTGTAGATGGACGCGGCGGATGCTGTAAGAGCAAGGAGGATCTCGATGCACCTCACTGCGAGCCTCTTCCTAGGGCCATCTGTGATGAGGTTGCCATTCGCGTCCACACTGCCCACTTTCTCTCCCTCGTCCTGCGGCGCCTGCTTTGTGCCAAACTCTGCTTCCAGCATGCGGATGCGCTCCTCCTTCAGAGCAGGATCGATGGGCAAGTCGGCGTCGGCGGGGTCCACGCTCCAGGGAACGGTGTTCAGATCGCGGGACGAGCGGGACGGATATGAGGGAGGAGGAGAGAGGGCGTACGGGCTGGTGTTGTACGCGTGGGCGGGAAAGGCGGGGTCGAACGGGGACAGCTTGTGCGCAGAAAGGCCGTCGTGGCCATAGGCCGACATGGGCGGGGACAAGGGTTGCTTCGAGCGATCGACCTCATACCAGTCGCGGGAGAATGGAGGGAATTGGGCAAGATCGGCTTCAGACGGGCTAGCTGGGACGTGAACGTGCAATTCGGATGGGGCATGGGGGTAGCTGGGATGGGATTGCAGTGATCGCAGCGGGAGGGAGGGAGGAGGAGAGAGAGAGAATGGGCGACGAAGCGGGGCGTAGGAGGCCGAGTCGGAGGGCGAGGGCGAGCTGGATGCGGAGAGGGACAGGACTGGCGGGGAGTCGGGGCTCGCAAAGGGACGGTGAGACTGGGGCGAGGGCGGGTAGTCGTCGTACGCGCGAAAGGGAGAGTGGTGGGACAGGGGGGGGGGG